TCTGATGATGGTTTTATTAAACCGAAACATGTAAGGCAGAAGTGATAAAGAAGTGACCTATAAATTGTTACACTCGACGGACTTTCTATTGACTTTGTTCCGTTTTCTTATTTCGTGTAGGATATTCCTCTGCTCACTGACTCTAATTAACACTTCTTCATTTCTCACATAATCGGTCCAACTGATCTTCTCCATTCTTCTCCAACACCACATTTCGAAGCTTTCCAGATGTTTCTGATCTACTGCCCTAAGTGTCCAAGTTTCAGCCCCATACAGAGCCATGCTCCAAATGTAGCATTTCACTAGTTTCTAAGCATAAGAAAAGTCTTGTTTCCTCTTGCAGGAACCTTGGAAGAAAGGCACGACGATTTTCAGTACACTCCGATATTCTCCTCAGCAAAGCCGGAAAGGAATATTCTTCAACGGTAAGCAACAATCGAAGTCATAATAAATTTATGTTAATGTGATCATAATTAATGTCTCTTTCAAGTCATCAGCAAAGGAACAAAAAATATGGGTGGATAGTTTGCACACTATTATTCAAACAATAAAAACCGTCTCGTTTTTTTGTTTTTTTGTACATTTCTTTAACTTTTTCCAATTCACGATTGGCCTTTGGGCTGTTAATTATGCTTGTAAATCTGAGATGAACGTGTTCGAATAATTTTGATACGCAGTTTGAAACCTGCTGTTAGGTTGCTGGAGTTGACGTTCCTACAGACATAACTACGAACAGTGCTTTCTCCTGTGATGTGACGCTATGTAGTTCGGTAGAAGTTTGCCAGCATTTCGGACGAGTATACTGACACGTGTATGAGTGATTATAGACGAGGTTTGGATTGGTAATTGGATTTATTGAACACTTACAGATCGTAACTACAAGTAACTGTAGCGCTATCTTTAATTCACAAATTCTTCAGTTCACTAGACCATATACTAAATTTCTTCAGTCTGCTACGTCTTCACCAGTCGTTGCCTGGTAAAGGCTTTTAAGGCGGACGTTCCACTACCTCTGGGTTCCCGAAATGTCCCCATGACTCAGTTACCAGCTTCACTGCTGCAGTTCTCTAATTAACTCACTCAGTCACCAACTAATTTGTTCAACTACACTTCATTAATTCAACCCAATTGGTCGAGTGGTATAGCCTCGGAGCGGACCACATAGAAAACACCGTTTCCAAATGTATTTCAATGTTGCGGGCGGGCTGCTGTCTGAGAACGGGTCCAGTACTGTTGTTCATTTACGAAGTTGTTGTAGAGCAATGGTCATTGTCGCGTTATTTTTTTCGCGGCCGTTGCCTAGCAGTGGTTTTCTATGATATAATACTGTCTCCATCTTCAGAGCCGAATAGTAAGCCGCAAGCAATCAGCAAGCAGCTTGCTGATACACAGCGTCTCATCTCAGAAGTAGAGCCAGTTAACACAACACTTCTTGCTGCCTTTTTCATACTGGATTCTTGCTCCACTTACTCTTTCACTTTGAAGATGGAAATGATATGCTATTCAGAAATGTCGTTTGACTTTAGCGTTCTGCAAAGTCAGTCAGAGTCAGAGTCAGACTTACTTTACGACTGACTGTTTACCGCCAATAAATTTTTCTTTGCGACAAGAATTTTTTAGACTCACGACCAATATTTCTTTTCCAAATAGACACTTGCGTTTGTAGTCCTTACGTAACATCCTTTATGACATAAGGATGGGTCTGTCGTTTAGAATTGCTACTGGTTCTCGCCAGCTCATTCATTCTAAAGTCTGAGTCCCGCGGGACTCATGGCCATATTTTACTGTCTCAAAATCGAGACTTCCACAACATAAAGGGCCAGGTCCCTGTATTTACTAGTGTATCCCCTAGAAACTGTGTGGCCCTGTTATATCCCCAGGCATTGGGTTCTCTTTTCGTCGCCTCCTACGACTCGCAGGGTTACGATGGAGGTATTCGACCCCGCCTCCACACTGGATGTTCTGCACAGTGGTATGTACGGGGAGATATAAGTGTTTATGATGACCGCTGTGACAACCCCAAATCCCACACTATTATAGTCCTGCTTATCCGTAAACAAAATACAATTTGATCAAATAATAAACCGCCTCTGTGGTCTAGTGGTCAGAGTTCCTGGCTACAGATCCAAGCAGTCCGGGTTCGATTCCTGGCGCTACCAGATTTTCTGAGAATTAGTGGGTCTGGATCGAGGTCCACTCTGCCTCGTGAGGATAATTGAGGATCTAATTCAAGGCTCCGGTCCAGAAAACCGAAATTAACGGCCGCGGTGATTCGTTGTGCTGACCACACAACACCCTCTATCCGCTGAAGTTGGAACTAACTTCTCCGACAAGCGGCGGTCGCTCAGTCGGTAAAGTCCGCTTGCAGACTGAAACTGCGAAGTTTTTTTATTTTTTGTTTTTTATCAAGGAACAGTTGCAACTCCAACTATAAGAGGCCAAAGTGTTTCATGTAGCGTACATTTCACTTTTATGAGTTTGTAACCACAATTTGCTTACATTTAATTTGTACCTCTCTCTGCTCATGTGTATATTTTTTCTCTGACCTGGTCATAGTATCAGAAATGTGCCTGCCAGCTCTAGTAATTTCTGACAGTGAAAATGTTGTCATATACCTCCAGCCAGTTGCGTTTATAACACGTAAAATATAAATTTGAATCAGTAGTTTAGAACCAAACTGATCTGAAAATTTAATTTATTAAATACACAGATGTAATTTAATTTATTAAATACATAAGTGTACTTTATCTGTTGGTATTATAACATTGATCTCTCTACAGGCCGTGTACCGATATATAAACGCAAATTTAATTACCTTCCTTTCCAGCTAATGGTTAAAAGCATGGAACAGAACAATTAGAAATATAACGTAATTAATGGATGAGGGTGCGCGCGCAATATTTCGCATGAAATCGTCAGTTGCCATGAGAAGGTTTCTAGGTCCCCTCTCTCCCGAATTAAGCTAGGGAGAGAAGCAGGGAAGAATGTGGGAAGACTAGGGAAACTGGTATATTGCAGTCAGCTGTATTGTGACATGTAGACCCATTGCCAAGCAACGGCTGTGTAAAAACAGCCGTTGCAAAGGAACAGCTCTGTGGACACGTTGTCTCCCCGGCAACGAGATAACACGCAATAATGGAAGATGCTTTTCCTGTGCGGTCCGTGACAAGGGTACGAATGGATAACCATCTGTTATTACTAGAGAGTTTTGAGACTGCAGTCAGAGAAGTAGGAGGTTAGTGTGAGATGGCCGCCAGCCTGCGAGGACGTGAGCCCTGGAGCAGAGAATCGTCCACTGTTAGAAGATGTGACCAAGCAACGCATTGAAAACTGTGACTGGGAACACTTGTCTGTGTGTGAGAGTAGTTTGTAAAGTGTAGTCACGATTTGTTTAAGGGTCCAGAACATCCGATTACAAATCCAAATCCCGTCTATAGCCACTCAATAACATGAAGATGTTGAATAATGAAACAGTAGAAATACGCGTTCAAGGGCGTCGCAATTTTTTTACAAATTCAGTACTTGCGGAACGAAATATGCATTAAAACAGATAATGTAATATACTCCGTGGCCCGTAGTCCGCAAGTGAACTATACCTATCGAGCGACCGCCGCTTGTCGGTGAAGTTAGTGCCAACTTTAGCGGATGAATTGTGTCGCGTGTTCAGCGAAACGGATCCCCACGGCCGTTAATGTCGGGTTTCTAGACCGGAGCCGCTGTCTTTGATCTTTGTTCATCGTGTAGGTGTCTCCCACCCTTCATATGCGGACTGGAACAGATAAAGTTTCCGAAACTTTGTGTTCTTTTGTGTTTTTGAAACACCAGACGAAGGAGAAGGTCCAAAAAATCCAATAATCCTAGGTAAAAATAATTTGTTTACTAGTTTAAAGTCATGTTATCAACAACCCAACTTATCTACTCAGTTTATATGACTTATATTACGACCTATTATTGATAATTGACTTTGGAATAAATTTATTTAATTTTTAGATATATATCTAACAGAATATTAATAAAAATTTATTTTGCACACAAACAGTGAACAGTAATGTAACACGTGGAGCGCATTGCTTTGTAATATGGCTCCTGTAACTTCATGAATACCGAATGTAAAGTGAAAACTAACTCGAGCTGAAACGTACTTGAGCGAACTGTGGGAAGTAACAACCATATCGCAGGTTAAAAGGGACAACTGGCAGTGTTAACCAACTTTGTTACAGTTATATCCCGCAGTTCCGGTTTCACCCCTACCCCCACACCCATCTATTTGTTTATTACATACTTGTAACACTTAAGTGTCGAAACAAACATGTACAGTATCAGACAAACAGATCATTGTTGTTGTCGTCCTGATTATCAGCGAAAACAGACATCACTGTCGAAGCATGTCAACACTGCACATTAACGGATGTAGAAGCGACTCGCATCCTGTTCGCCTGTTTTCATTAAATCGTTCCAAGGATTTAACACTTGACGTAATTGAAAGCTTGGCTGGACATCAAACAGGTGAGCAAACCTTCATACTCTGTGGGGGTGCACAAAGCGCATGCGTCCCCCCCCCCTCTTTTTCCGTCCAATGAAAACTAACATTATCGACAGAATTAAGTAGTGAATATAGTTATGAATGAAATATTTGCGTTTAATATATACGAAATATAAAGGATGATTCTAAATTAGTGTCGGGATTCCCGTGGCCTATAAACGGAAACCTCGACAATAATTTAGAATTACTCTGTATTTTTGGATCGAGCAGGTTACTGTATTTATAAGCGCTAGGTGTTGAGGTCGAATCTTGACTCAGGTTTCTCACGCTGTACCCCTGTCCCTCAAGGAAAATTCCAAGATACTAACCTCGATTACGTCACCACCGGCTGATGACGTTTATTTTGCTGCATTTGTCAGTAGAGCTCGATTATAATGTGATGGAATATTAGGAGAAGATAATTTTCCTGTATGGGCGGAACGGAGGAGTCCACGTTGTCTTACACTAGATATGAGGGGTAGAGAGTTCATTTCGCTGTTGGCACCTGGTTTCTCCGTTGAAGTTGCTCGTAAAGGTCTTACTCGCTCCACTATCCTGTTTCCCCCGCACTTACCCTACTTCACACAGGCTTTTGTCATCACATAGTAATCGAGCCACATCTTAGTCTGTGCAGTGTCGAGTAATGGGGTAAATGGTGAATAGTGAATTTCACAGGATTAGGAATGAAGTGATAATCGAGGCATTATCCCGGAATTTGCTTGAAACGACTGAGGAAGAACTCTAAACCCTTCATTTTAGGCGGTCTCTCGGTTGGGATTGGAACCTGATGCATCCTTAGTCTTACCGCTACACCAATTTGCTCGGTAGGCCCTTCACCTTCCGGAACCTTTCGAACTTAATATTCACTAGCCATCCCTTTATTCACCGCCTCTGTGGTCTAAT